TATTGTGTAGAGCACTGAGAAAGTGTGCCAGCAACGAGATAAAAACCAAAATTAATAAGCTTCGTCTCAGTGCAGCGCTTGCAATATTTCAACAGAATTATTGATTAGGGATTCATTTGCTTCAAAAATGGAAAAATCAGACGACATGAGTAAAGAAGTCAGAAAGTTCTAGCTGAAGCATATTTTATTAGCTTTAGTTCTGCAAGAGAGCAAAACCAAATCAGACAAATGTTTGCCTCGTTTGGAAGCAGCAAGACTGGATTCATTATATTTGTATTCCTATATGTATAGGCAAATATAAAGAATTTATCCAACTTCGATGATTGAACAGCAAATTTGTTAACATTTTAATATCGCACGTTTGGCGATAACAATATAAAAAACTGCAACATACATACAATACATGACCCAAATAATACTGAGAAGAGAATGAATTAAATATATTAAAGTTGCCTGTTTTTGGTATGAAACATTAGTAACTGAATAACGAGGGCAAGTACAAAAATTCGATTATAATTTAATCAAGCTTAGATAAATTCGTAAGTTAATAACAAACACTTATTTATAACTACTGAAATAAATACAAATGCAAAATTGTATTACACAAAATACAAAAAAATGAATTCTTAACGTGATGTTTTGCACCAGCAAAGGATAGGGTCAAAATGTTAAAACAAGTTGGGAATAGATATTTCAGATATATCTAGTTACTTCATTTTCATATAAATAATAAAGGTATAGACAGTAAGGCTGAATTGTCGAAATTGCTTTAGCTTAACCAGCAAAAGATTCAGCAAAACGGTTCAAATATAATAAATGCCAACATTTTGGAGACTACCCTCTAAATGCGAATCATTTAGAAGAGGAAATTGATATTTTGATTGAAATCGCTGTTTATCACAACTTTTAATCATGTTGAAAGTCAAAATAAAATGTTTAATTTTGGAATACTACAGATTATCGTAGTATGTGACGACAATCTATTTAAATGGTTATTATATTTACTTACTTACTGTGATTTTTACTCGATGGATGAAAAAATACAAAGGATTACTGATGTCAAAACCTTTTTCTTGGAAATTTCGCCAATAAAATTTCGTTTTTTAAACCATAAGACTGTTGCTGTATTACACAAATGTTGAATAGATAACGAATTCATATTAATTGCCCCAGCGCCATTGAATACTGAGATGCGACTAGATAAGAGATAAGAATTGAGGCAAAATTGTACAGCTTCACCCTGTAGACGGAAGTGTGCCATACACGATTCACAGCAAAATTCCAATTCCCAGCCAGAGTCATCCTCTCTAATGACCAGTAATGAGCACCAGGTTCCTATCAGCGCATCATCGGCGTACGCAGCCTGTCGGTTCCTTTGAAGTACCACCCGCTGGGGTGCGGCCGTCTTCAAGCTCTTTGGGGGGCCTCGTGCGACCGCGGGTGGAAGGAAACATTCCCGTGATATTTGGGATTTGCATTGCAATACGCACTAATCGAATTTTAAATGGCTATAAGTTTCTCGTACTGGCAAGTCTCAGAAATTCCAACACTCATATCGGTACATCCGAATTCTTATGTGAGGTTCAATTCAATATTGAGTTTTCAGTGCCAGTTTGAGCCAGTAAGTGTTCAAGTAAATGACTTTTCTTGAGTGACTTTCCTATTTTCAATTAAGTACATTCCACTTCTCTCTACACGACGTTGAAATATCGGCATTATTACTGCATAATACACTTGAAAGTCAGCAGAAAATTTAACAAGAAGCGCATAACAAGAAGTTCCGAACCCTGACATTACCTACACCAATAAGAGAACTTTTATTAACGTTGAATTTGCACAATCTTCTTTAAGTATAAATACTCTGAAAGTATCAATTTGGCCATGAATTTCTGACAGAATTTGTGATGTTGCTGGTCAGTTTGGAATGCAACTAACATATTGTGAGTTCTAACATAAGTAGGTAATGTCTAAATTCATTTAAAATTCAGTGGATGATTTTCTTTGGAAGAAAGTTCGCTCACTTTCATTTGTAAATGCGATTTTTTCATCGATTTATTTATTTCAAATAAAAGCACCTACTTTATACTACTAAGTATGATTCAGGTAAAATAGCTAGAATAAGACTATAATCGAAATGCATTTAATATTAAGAATATTAAGTTCAGCAATACAGTGGGCCACCGTGTGCCGATTTTATCCAAAAATGTAAGCATAATGGCAACAAAGTGTGAACGAGCACCATCTTGCTGGAAAATCAGTTCGTCGTCAGAAGGGTCTGTTGAAGTAAATCTGTTGAAATAAAGCAGTTGAAGAAATTGTAGAAATACTTGTTCAGTTAGAGATTGTTAAAAAAAATGGCTCGAGTACTCTTCCGCGCATTATTCCACACAATGCAGTTATTTTTTTTTAACTGGCTGTGAACCTCCGACATCCAATGCGGATTTTCTGTCGCACAATATCGACAATTTTGTAGGTTCACGTAACCATTCAAACAGAATGTGGCTTCATCGAGAAAAATAATGCCTTTTACTAAATGATTATCTAGATTGAACATATTAAGCATGCTTTCGCAAAACTCATTTCATCATATCGAAATCATCCTCAAATAACTGTTGCACTGAAATAACTTTGTAAGGATGATATTTCTGGTTCCAAACTATTCGGAGAACACCAGATATTCGCATAGGTATGTTAATTTGCCCCACCATGCGAAAGAAAGTAAAACGCCGAGTTGTTAATTTTCTTTCTAAATTCTCTGAATTTAGCTTTGATTATGCTCACCACCATTTGACGTATGGGAGGAAAATATTGTTTTACCTCGTAAATTCCTCTTCGACTTTTGTTGAGTTTAGATATAGAACTTGTACAATGGAGTATTCGAATGAGAACTAAGAAATAGTTGCTTCTATTTGCAAAAAATAAGTTGATGGTCGTAATTTCTTTTTGGGTTACGCTGTATAAATAAATTGACCATAAAAACACATTTACAAATAAAAATTAACGGGTGTAATCTATTTTCGAAAAAAAACACCGCTGAATTTACTATACAATGGAGAACTGATTACTATACAATGGAGAACTGATGACTAATAACTTGGTCCTAATTTATCCATATTAGGGATGGTCGGTATTTAATGTAACCCTTAAAATAACAGTGTTCCAGACGTGTAACCTGTAACCGCAGTTACACTTTGCCCGGTTGTTTTTGGAACGGTCTTATAAACTCAAAAGTTTGGCCCAGAACAGAAGATGCGGCACCGTCGAGCCATCATCTATCCAGTTGCAGCAGTTTCAGTAACCAGTTAATTCATTTTTAAATGAAAATTAGCTTTTTAAACATTTTCGCATGCAAAGCGTATATTCCATTTAAAGCATTTCATTTTATTATCAGTTTTTTTCTTTTAGTAGTTACTTATAACCCATGTTTTGTTTTTAGAATGTATTATTTTTAGTTTGTCAACGCTAAGAATTATTTTTTAAATAAACTAAATCATTATTTATCACACAATTTTTAATGAAACATTTAAAAAGTAACATGTTACTTTTAGAACCTAATATCAAAGTGAAACTGCAAGTTTGGACCCTGTTCCAGAAAAATATCCATATCCATCGTAGAAAATTATTGACAAGCACAGTAACTAAACATATTCAGCTACAAATCATTTAGAAAAGGGTGGGCCACTTATTGCTGAAGACATTCTGATTTAAATCAAAAGTTAACTTTACAACTATCATTTTCAAATTTAACACTTACATAGCAAAATCTATCTTACCGAAGTCTAAATAGGAGGAGCAAAGAAATATATTTTAATGACGGAAACATCCAATATCTGAAACGATAGCTGTACTAAATTAGAGCGGCAAAGTGTTGAAAATATGTCCATAAATTAACTGAATTATTAGTTTAAATTTCAGAAAATTTGTGGTCACAACCCACAAAAATGTAATGACAATATTCAATACTAATAAAGATATTCAACTCGTTCCGTTTAACATTTGCAGCTTATTCTCCTCTCTTATCGGTCTTTATAAAAATTAGAAAAAAAGTACGAAACGTCGGATATGAGATTAATAAACAGGAAATTGTTTAATAATAACTTTAATGAAATGTGCGATATGAAGTCGTAATAATACGTAAGGTTATACTATCGCTTTTGTTTAATTGCAATTTTTTATTGCCCGACTGATAATTAATTATTAATGTGAAATGATAAGGCTTTCTATACTTAAGCAATCTCTTAAAATGACATTTTTATACTGGAATTAAATACAGTCTGTGCAATATATTCATAGAATGTGAATTAGAAAATTGTGTCGTTCCAACAAGGCTCACACCGTTCGAGCAAAAGTTCTTTTCATTTTTCTGTTCGGATGGGAAATTGGCCAGATCTCAGAGATCTCAAGTTACTTATGAATTGAAATATTCTTATTTCACTTGCAAACAATTGAACTACAGTTTTACGATGCAATTTTGAAAAAAATGCGATAATTTAAAGATATTTGTGTCTATTAATGGGAACAAAACTTAGGCCAAAACTGTTAAAACCTAGAAGAAGAGTAAATGGTCTGAAAATAACAATTTCATTTGCGTAAACTCGGTACAGTAATTCTTGGCAACAACGAGAAGTTTCTGATTACGAGCAACGACCTCGATAAGGGCACATCTGCATAACCCCACACTGACCTCCAATATCTCTGATTTCTTAATGAAACTAAAAATAAATTAATTTTTTTAATTGGGATCTATGTAAAACTTCGTGCTCGATTTAAGATTTTGTTTTTGATCGTACCGACCTCACATTCCTCTCGTGCTTGTTTACTTGCTTCCGTTTTTCATTGATAATTTAAAAATGAGGATCAAATCGGATCTGAAGCCAAAAGCCAATACTTTACTGAGTGAACCAATTTCATTTGTTTGACTCATGAGCAAGTCATTTATCAGAAAAACGGATTACATAATTAACATAGATTTTCAAATGCATAAATGCGTAAATACATACCTCCAAAGCTTTCCTAGGGTTTTAGACAACTCTGCATTATGTAGTTGTGGATGTTGGTCAGCTAATTTTCTACGTGCTGCTTGGGCCCATACCATAAAAGCGTTCATGGGCCTTTTCACATGCAGCTTTCTCTTGTCTGATGCAGCTCTGTAACAAAAGAAATAGGTATTAATAAAAAAAATTAAAAATAAGAAAATGCCAGAGAAGACATGAAACATGAACATGAAATCTCCATCTGTTCCAACCTAAATATCTAAGGAAGAAATAAAGATAATCATAACTTTAGTTTCTGACGAAAAAGTATGCTATTACAATTAAGATGTAGTCGGAACAGTTAGGCAATTCTCGCGTCAGCGTTATATTGTAGAACAACACATACAATTTTCCATAGATTATGTCTGGCATTATATTATTATTCAATTGTAGATTTGGGCCTTAAATATACAAAAAGAGTATTGTATATTTTCCAATCAGTTGAAATCAGTTGAAGTGTGTGCATGTTATTTTTCCAGTTCGAAAACGAAATATTTATCTGATAACAGCTAGGTATGCCTTTTGAAGTAAGCCGAAAAGAAAGAGGTACATTGATATTTTAAAACAAATATTTATAAGAGCATGTTTATAAAATAAAATTGCCACGAACCATAAGATAAAAAAGTTCAGATGTTGTTAGTTTCACAACAAAGCAGATTTTTTCAAACAATAGAATTTTAAATATATTATTGAATAGTGTGTCTCAGTTATTATTAAACAAATTTAATGGCTGATTCCGGTGGTAAAGTACTTAATACGACTTAGCACAACTTACCTTAGAAGAAAACTCAAGAGAAACAGAATGGAGGGGTCAAAGTTATTTTTTACGGTCTTTTAAATTACTTCCGAAAACTTGAAGTTTCTTACTGAAATCAAATATTCGTGGTTTCTCGAAGGTGACAAATTTGCAAATCTAAATTAAATGTAACTTTTTGCTGATACTGCCAAAGGATAACTGACACCCAAATATCTGTTTTGCAATATTTTTTAAGTAAAAAAGAATATTTGCAGTTAAAGCATCTGGTGCAATATAATAAAATCATGTAAATTGATACCCTAAGCACCTGTTTTTCTTAAATCTACGAAACAAAATATATGACAACAGCTATGCCTTTTGATATAAACTGAAAAGAAAGAAACGCATTGACAGGAAATTTAAAACCAATTTTTTTATCGCGAAGCCCTAGGTAGTCAAATGCGGGGGGTGGGGGGATCGTAAGTTTCATTAGGTGTTGTTAGCATCGCAACAAAGCAGGTTTTACACAATATAATTTTAGAAATATTATTGAATTCAGCCCATAAGTAATGGAAAAAAATTTAATTACTGATACCTGTGGTAAAAGTCGTTAATGTATGAAGAAACGATAGATACCAGAGACTAATTGCTTATAAAAATTCAAAATGCTCTGGAGACATTGTGTAACAGCATCTATTTTTGATAAAAGTGTGATTAAATGTATTGAAGTTAATGGTCGTCATTTTGAACAACTTTTGCAAAAGCTGATAATTTTTTTCAATTAGTTTTTCAAGTTTATTTATTGTTGTGTTCTATATTGATCATTAAATTATTAGTGTCCTCTATTATTCTGTCCATAAATAGGTAGATTAAAAAAAAAAAAGCACGGATATTATAATTGCCAATATCTTAAAAACCGTTAATCTCAGAAATACCAACTAAGGGTACAAAAACCCCCGAATATCTAAACAACTAAACAAAATTACTAGAAATAACAACTTTGACTCCTTGTATTTCTGTTTCGGTTGACTTTTCTTCTCAGGTATGTAATTCTTCGGAAATTTTTCACCATTCGTTATGAGACACCCTGTATAAAAAACTTACTCATCAATCGAGATCAAGATAACCATTACAATAATATAATTCTAACTTAAATAAAAGACTTATTCGAGAAATGTTGATTTATGGATAAAAAAATTTCTCAAATTGAATCATAGATAATTTAACGTCCTTATTTTGCAAATGTAATAAAGGCCGGTTTAGTCAGTTAACAAACCATCTGATACATTAACCAAACAGCTATTTTCAAATAAATAATGTGTAATTTTCTTTGGTGAACTCTTAGGGATGAGAAAACATTCTTGCTGTTCCATAACTTTTCATCTCGATTTTGCTTTTGATTTCCAGGTTTGAATGGCGAATTTGTGTAAAATTTCCAAGATGAGTTGAAGATATTTTCTAGAAAACATTCTTCTCTTTAACATCCTTGAAAGCCATGAACAAGCGTATGAAATCAAGTTTAAAAGTGTCTATGAAGCAGCATTGCGTAGGTAATATTAGATGCAAATAATGCAGAAATTAACTAAGAAACAAGTTTTTGTAGCAGCTGGTCATCGGTGTATTATTGAGAAATATATTGAAGAATTAAATTATTTCCAAAGGTCGTCACAGGTTGAGCGAGAAAGTCCAAGAGCTTGCAGCAGGAGAAATGATGTGAAGGGCTAAACATTCTGTACTGTGTATTGACGTTTGGCAGTTTCCTTTTCTGATTTTATACAATTTTAAACAAAATAAAACTTCTTTACATCGCAGGATAAATTAAACAAAACTTTTTATTTGAGAAAGTGCTAATCGTACGTCTGACGTTCACTAGTTTTACATGTAACATATAATAAATAAATTTATATTCATACTAAGATTGTTTTAAGAATTCAAATATGCAAATGTATATATATTGTACGTTATATCACATTTCTCTAATATTTTCGTTATAAGCAACTGATTAACGTATGTTTCCACTTTCTTTGGAACTAATGGAAGCATCTTAATATGTGCTGCTTATAATGCTACTGAAATTAAAATAAACGCGATAAAAATAATCAAACAAAACCCACGCATATGTGGTTACGGTTTAAAATGCGAAATAAACGCCAGGTATTATCATTTTGGTTGGTCATATAAATCAAACTGCGTCCGTTTGACCACACACTTATACCAAATGGGAAAACGACCACCAATCCAGTGAGTATTGTGTACGTAAATACATACATCTAAAATTAGATTGCAGAGGAATTACGGTCTGGGTTGATATAAAAAACCATTACTAATAATCATACATAACTCATGTATGAATAACTTTATCAGCTTATCGATGAAATGGGATGCTACTGTTGCCAAGAACATTCATGATCCCAACTGCAAAAAATATTTTATTATTCATTCATGGAATAAGTTTTATCAACCCGTAAAGTATGGTTGGGTACAGTATTCCAGGAACGGTAGTCATTCGAGCATATGCTCGAAACGGGAATAGAACAAAACACTTTCCCTAAAGTCACCAAAGTATCTCTTTAAAGAGTTATGAGTTTTAGTTCTGCTTTATTAATTCTTACAGGTTTCTAAAATGCATTTGAGAATAAATAAATTTGAAGAATAAATTGAAGTTTTCCAAATGCAGGTCAATTTTAATATGTTAAAGTTAGTTTTCTTAACAAATTTGTTGTGTAATACGGATCGTCAGACAATATATTTACTTTGATTGCAACTTTGTCATATATCACCTATGTATCTAGAAATTTGTTTGAGATAAGCTAGGTTGATATTGTCATGAAAGCCGATATAATGCGACACATTTTTAATTGCTAAAAATATAAAAATTAATCAACCTCGCCAAAGTAGTAAGACGAAAACGAAATGAAGAAAATTTATCGAAATTAATTGCAAAACTGCACTACATGATATTTTGAAACTTAAATGAAAACTCACACTCTTAAACTGAATGGTCTTCACGCTGGATTGAGACGGATTCAATTCAAGCAGATGGTTAAAGACTTACATGCCTTGGTTACATTCATAATCGAAAACTGTATCCGCCTTCCGAAACATTCCATTACAGAAACGCATTTTCTATTTAGCAAACGACAAAACTAAGTATGAACATCAATTGAATGAATTGAATACAATGGCAGAAAAATATTAGAAGAATCTAGAACTTGAGTCATAATTTATCTATTGCGTTGAGTTGGAATTGCTGATTTCACTTACGAAAGTTCTTTTCACATAATCAAAGTTCAAAGTTTTTTGTATGACTCTTGGACATAATTGAAATCTTTAATTATGGACTTAAGTAATGATATTTGCAAATAATTAATGTTGTTTCATATGCTTGCGTCCTTTACGTATTATACAATGCATTTGCGTGCTATTTTTGACATAATTAAGCAACATATTTTGACTAACAATATTACAAGTTCTTAAGAAATGTAATTCTAAAGACCTCCATCGCCATTAAGCAAAGTGATTCTCGCTCCAGATTTTGATACTAGTAAGACATTTTTTGAGCTACTTTATAAAAAGAAGACTACCATATAGAGGCGTGCCATATGCACTGCACTTTTCTTCTTCAAACTTCACAGTTTTTTAGAGTTTTCTTATACTCATTAAGGGTCCTCAATTTTGTTTCATGTGCTATTTTTCAGAATGCGTCTACTTTCAATGTAATAAGTATTTGAAATTGTTGATATTTGGTCATTCGAAGAGAGAGTAAGTTTTTCTATTTAAAGACCTTTGTGAATATTGCAACTCAATTATTTTAATGGCTGGATCTGTATAGACCAAAACTGGTAGTTTATGTCACATTGCTTATAAAAAGTTCCATTTTTTCCCGATCTATTCTTATAATATTTTTTCTAGGCAGTCTTCTCGTGTTCAACAAGTTGGATTAATCGATACAACTAAGCTTAGCTAAACAAAGTATTAATCACTGCAAATAAAAAATCAGTGCAATAAAAAATGTAAATAGATTGTCGGTTTCTCAATTTTTACGTTTCAATTAGCTTTCAGTTGGTTGGACCAATTCTTTGCAGGTTTTCAGACTCATATAAAAAATGTATTACTTCTTCAGTTCGTGCTAAATCATTTTTCATAAACGCTTTCAAACGTCGTTTCAAAAAGGTTAAGATAATCCCGAAAAATAACCTGAACGAAATCGTCTTTTATAACAATATTTTTTATTATCGAAATATGCTTTAATAAAATCAGACGCGACTCAAACAAAACCCAACTGTAGGCAGACTTAATGGCAGACATATTTAATTTCAAGACGAAATCAAACAATATTACCATCCATGCCTTATCAATGGCAGATAATTTTGTAGTC